CTCAGTGTTGCCCCCGTACCGGACCAGGGACCGGCAACGGGATTGCAAACCTCGGCGTTGCTCCCGCGCCTCGCTCAGCCAGTGAGCGGGAGCCGGTCCGTATGTGGGATCCGAACCCTCGGGCGGGAGCGCTGCCGCGCTTCCCAAGCGGCGCACTATCCAGTGCGCCACCGGGCCGGCCCCCAAAAAGAAACTTTTTAAAGAACATGTTAAAGATGAAAGCATGATAAAGATACAAACATTTTAAAGAATCACAGAATAGGATTTTGAATAGAATATAAAATAGATCAAAAGAAAAAAATAGCCATGTTTTAAAACATGATTTCAGGAAACACAAAATCTTTAAATTTTTAGAATAAATGTGTCCTTCAGTAATTATGTCATAATAAAATTTTGATTCTCTGAATAAAGGTGAAACATCTTACAAAAAATCTCAGCAAGAACTAGCAACACCACAATGTGTCAATAAACTATCTTTTGTAGACAGTATAACCTAGTAGCTGAGAGGCCAGACTGCCTAAGTTTGAATATCACCTCTGTCACTTGACTAGCAGTGTGGTCCTGGGCAAGTTACTTAACCTCTGTGCTTAATTTGCTTCATCTGTAAAATGGGAGTAAGGATACTTAGTTCATGAGACTGTTACAAAGATGAAATGATTTAATACAAAAAAGGCACTAAGAATATTGCTTGGCACACAACAGAAGGTCAATACAGTAGTCTTCCCTCATCTGCAGTTTCATTTCCTGAAGTTTCAGTTATCCATGGCCAACCGCAGTTCTCTGAAAATATTAAATGGGAAATCCCAGAAATAATTCATAAGTCTCAAACTGTGTGCCATTCTGAGTATTATTATATTTGTTCTGTTTTATTATTAGGTATTGTTGTTAATCTCTTACTGTGCCTAATTTACAAATTAAACTTTATCATAGGTATGCCTTTATAGGAAAAAACATAGTGTAGATAGAGTTTGGTATTATTTGCAGTTTCGGGCATCCACTAGGAGTCTTGGAACATATCCCCTGCAGATAAGGGGGCTACTGTGATTATCATTTCTTTTTTTTTTTTTCCTTTTTGTCTTTTTT